AAAGCCCGTTTCGGGCCGGTGGCGACAATCCTCACCCTTAAATCTAATATGATGGTACCCCGATCTAAGGTCAATTTTACTAAATACACTAGCACCCACCAACTGGTCCATAAGGTCATCTATCCTAGGCAATGGATACTTATTCTTAATGGTTACCTTATTCAACTAGAGATAATCTACACACAATCTCATGCTATCATCTTTCTTCTTGACTAAGAGTACGGGTGCTCCCCAAGGTGATACACTAGGCCTCACAAACCCCTTCTCCAACAAGTCTTCTATTTGTTTCTTAAACTCCACTAACTCTGTGGGTGACATCCTATAAGGTGTAATAGAAATAGGTCCTGTTCTTGGTACTAAGTCTATGGAAAACTCTACTTCTCTTGTAGGTGGTAAGCTAGACATATCATCAGAGAAGACATCCGAAAAGTCACACACAAGAGGCAGTTCATTCATCAAAACATTACTCTCAAAATTCAAAGAATCTAACACATGTACACTTGGGCATCCTCTTGTAAAGATACCTTAACTTGGTTGGCAATCAAATAGTCCTTACTCACTTTTTCAACAGGCTCGCCAAAAATAATAGATTTATCAGCACAATTCAAAAGGACATGATTGAAAGATAAGCAGTCCATACCTAGAATAAAATCTAGCTGACTTAGAGGCAAACAAATTAAGTCAACCATGAAAGTTCTACCATCATTACTCAAAGGACACTTTAAACAAACATCAGAAGTAGAAACTGAACCACTAGTTGGTGTCTCTACTATTAATTCAAAAGACAAGGAAGAAATAGGTAATTTTAATTTGGACACACACGCATGTGATATGAAAGAGTGAGTCGCACCAGAGTCATACAAAATAATTAGAGGAGTTCCATTGATGAAACACATACCCTGGATTAAGTCTTCGGATTGAGTAGCTTCAGCACCACTCAAGGCAAACACCTTTCCCATCGCCCTAGGTTTGTTAGTGCTCCCTCCAACTTTTGTTGTTCCTTTCTTGTTCTTAGGGCATTCACGAGCTTTGTGTCCTTTCTCTTGACAATTAAAACATGTTATTACTTTTGACGCCTGACACTCATATGCCCTATGACCTGGTTCCCCATAGTTGAAGTAGTTGTTGTGTGGAACAGAACCCACACTTCCCCCTCTAGAAGTTTGACTAGCCATTGGAGCTTGGTTCCTGTGGTGTACAGAACCTTGGTTATTCACTTTAGAACTCGAATCCCCAACAGACTTGGTGTAAGGTTTACCCTTACTAGATGAACCAAACTTATTGTGATTCTTCATGGGTCCTCCACTCTTATAATGAGTTACTCTAGCGCGATTGTCCTCATCATAAACTCGGCACTTGTTTACCAATTCATGATATTGAGTGATCCCTTGATAATTGAAAACTTGTTTGATCTCAGGGCAAAGACCACTCACAAACTTCACACACTTGTCCTCTTCATTACCCACACCATCATACATGGGACAAAATCTAACCAGGTCTTCAAACTTAGTTACATACCCAGCCACAGAATTCTCTCATTGCTTCAACTCAAGGAATTCCAGCTGTTTCCTATGTCTCAGATCTCGTGGTAAGTATTTCTCCAAGAATAGCCGCTTGAAATTATCCCAGTTCACTTGGGTACCGCAGCCATCATTCTCTACAAAGCACCTTGGCACCAAACCCCAGCCTCTCCAGAAAGCATGAAAGCAGCCAAAGTCACCTTTTGCACCAAAGGACATCCCATAGCTTGGAATATCTTTTCAATCGCAAAAATCTAGTCAGCAGCTCCATCAGGATTATAACCCCTACAGAAGCTTGGCAGATTATTTTGCTAGAATCTCTCCAGCCAATCTACCTCTGGTCGTTGGTTCAAAGTACCAAGAGCCTGAGCCATCACTTGTAGAGCATCAGTTATTGCACGATCATTCTTACCTCCTGCCATTGCTCTTCTGATCCACAGAAGAGTTAACAATTATACTATAATTAAATAAATAACAAACTTAATCAATCATCACACTAGCATATCAGCAAGTTCCACAATCAATTCATTCCATCATTCATCTACCAAACAAGTATAGTAGACTCATAACTCACGAATGATTGGATCGACCTGCTCTGATTCCACTAAATGTGACACCATTACTACCCCAACACATATATCGTAATAATGTAATTAAAATAAGAAACTAAATTTTTCAACGTCGGTAAAAGGGTTCACATAAAAACCTTCACAAATGTTGTTCAATGTCTAACATGAATAAAATTTGGAAAATCAAACATAAGAGTTTACAACTTTTTTTAAAAATAATAATTACAACTCCAAATTCATATAAAAATTTCATATTGTAAAAATTCTCTGCCCCGATGTCACAATACTAGAGCACACCCATAATTCAATTGTTGGCATTCTAGATGGCACTCAAAGCCGGATCTTCCTCACCTAAAATATCCACAAATTATACGGTGAGAAAGGAAAACATCTATATGTAAAGAACATACCAACACATCACAATGTAATCTCATCATAACTCATTACATAATGAAATATTTACAATCATTTCTACATATCATAATTCTATCAATCATGCATCAACTTCACATCACAATTTCACCATCACACCAATCCATCACAAATCTTGCAATTAATATAACGCCAAGGTCACGCCTGTAGCATCTCTTTCCCAAGGTCGTACCACCCCCGATATAAGCATGAGGAATCGCCCATCCCATACCATGCCAAGGTCACGCCTGTAGCATCTCTTGCCCGAGGTCGTGCCACCCCCGACATAAGCATGAGAAATCACACATCCTGCACTATGCCAAGGTCACGCTTGTAACATCTCTTGTTCAAGGTCGTGCCACCCCTAGTCACTAGTGTGAGGAACCACAATGTCACATTCACATTCACATTCACAGCTCAATTCCACAACACATACACAAAACCCACACAAAATAGTGGTTCACTTACACCTCAAGCAATTCACCATGAATCTTCATCTAGATCATCAATTTTACCAAATAATGTAATAATAATATTTGTAAATTAATATAAAACCATATTAAATCACCAATTTAATAGAATCTTAACCCAAATAGTAAAACCCCTAATTTTTCCAAAACCTAACTCCCAGACACTTTTTTACAATTTTGTTCTCTCTCCCAGATCATCATTTTTACAAATTAAATATATATTTATGATCCTTAACACATACAGAATCTAATAATGCCAATAATTCTTCAAACAGAAATAATTATAAAATTATTAAAATTTCTACAGGAACTCTTCTCCACTCATTCCCTCATGTGACTCTACACATAAATCTCTCCTTTTCCCCAGTACCTGGATAAATAATAGCTGAAACTAAGCAGGATCTGTTTGGCTTCCTCCATCGGTTTCCCCTCGGTCTTCAGAGAGTGTAGAAGAAGAGAAGAGAGTAAAGAAGAAAAAAAGTCAAAACTGAAAGAAGTCAGAACTGAAAAGTGTGCCTTTTGGGAGTGCCAGAGATCTCTATTTATAAGCATCAGGCGTCGCAAGAATGGCCCATTTTGAATCCGAAACGGCCCGTTCTAGACTCTTACGTTATGTGTAAAATTCACATCCAGAACAACTTGTTCTCAAACCAGAACGACCTATTCTGGGATTGCATTTAACCCATAACGGCAATATTTGGAATCCCCAGTTCTGAACTAGGATTACAAGTCTTTTTAGTAGTTTGGAATGACCCGTTCCAATTTTGGAATGACCCGTTCTGGACTACTAAATTACTCTTGTCTTAGTAGATTGGAACGGCCCGTTCCAATTTGGGAACGACCCGTTCTAGGCTACTAAACCACCCCTGCAAATTTATGAAAATTACTCAATTACCCTCAATAAATGGTATGAAAACTGGGGTGTTACAATTTATACTACTACATAATCTTTCTATTTTTTATACTTTGTATGATTACATCTTATACTTTTATTGAGTATGATTTAATAATAAAAAAAATTCTTGTACACTCTTCAAAAATAAAATGAAAAAAAAATTATCATATCTTGATCTGAAGTTATTTTATAATTGTCTTTTGACTATGAAAACTTCCTTTATATTTTATTAACCTATTTTGATTGTATTTGAAAAAAGTTATGGATTAAATTAAATAAACTTATTTTGTAGTTTCCTTTGAGATATTATTGAATTTCATCTCAAATATAAAAGACGAGAATAATATTTCAGTTATAATTTTTAATTCCAACGCGGATAATCATAATTGTTAGGTAGTTAAAGAAATATTTAGTAAGATCAAATTACTTTTACTCATTATTATTTTAAATTTCAATTTTCAAATTCTAAAATATAAAATGCTAAATGTCATGAACTTGTCTTCTTCACATATATAAAATTTGAAAATTATTCATAATCATGTTATTTTATAAAACAAAGTTCTATCATATCTGATGATAATATTTTAATTATACTTAGCAAATATTTATTTTATTATATTTAAAAATTAGGTTTAAATATGTTTTTAGTCCCTCAAATTTAGCGTAAATTTATTTTTGGTCTCTCAAATTTAAAATTGTTGTTTTTAGTCCTTGTAATTTCAAAAAATCTTATTTTAGTCCTTATATTCAAATTTTGTTAAAAAATTTATCAAACATTATTACATAAAATTTATCTATTGGTGTTTCTATCTATTAGTGAAAATATTACATTAAATCCAGTTGATATCGCATAACTGTTTTAATTAGTCACTTTCAAATATGTTATTGGTGACTTAAAGGAATAAATAAAATTTTAAAAAATTACAAGGACTAAAAATAACAGTTTTAAATTTGGGGAACCAAAAACAAATTTAGCTTAAATTTGAGGGACTAAAAACATATTTAAACCTAAAAATTTTAATTATGATAATAAAAAAATGATCACATTAATAAAAAGTAAGAAAACGTGTAGCATACTGATTATTCATTTTTACATGCATCTAATGTTGATTGCCCATTTGATTTATTATATTATTAATGATGAAATTAGATTGTTAATGTTGATTGTTGCTTATTTTGATACGTAGTTAATATATTGATTGCTTATTTGATTAGTATATATATTATCAATGACGAAATGAAGTAGTTAATGCTATTTTTTTTTTCAGATGTAGTTATTGTTGATTGATTATTTGATTTATTATACTGTTGATGACAAAATAGAGTATAAAATAATTATAAAATAATTAAGGTATGTAAATTGAAATATGTATATTGAACCTTTGTGAAATTGATACATCTACTTTAAACTTTGAAAGTTATTTTGAATTTGACACATGTTATCAAAACTTGAAATTGGATTCACTAACGTATTTATAATAATTGATGATAAAATTGTGTAAAAACTAATTATGGTATGTAACTGAACCGAGTACTACCTCCATCCTCTTATATATAAGATCTTTTTAATTTTATTGTCTGTCCCTTTTTATAAGATATTTTTCTAATTATCTCTTATATTAATTTTTTTCATATAATACCATTAATTAATTAATAAAGTTTTTAGGAAAAAATAATAAATGCTAGAAATTAATAAGATAAATTTCTCTGTGTGTCTTGATATGATTGAAGATAAGTAAACATATTTTTTTATGATTAATATTAACTTTCTACATTTTAATTAATTATGTGAGAAGCAAACAAATGGAATGAGAAATGATTAATTTTAAAAATATTAAGTAATTTTTAAAATCAATTCAAATTATTGACAAATTTAATATTTTTAACTAAATTAACTTATTTTTAAATGGTGTAAGTTATTTGAAATATTCTTATATTTAGGGACAAAGATAGTCTTTATAAAACATCATATTATGAGACATGTTATTGAAAATCCTATGTTATTGACATACGTACTCAAAACCTTAGAAGTTAATATGGATTCGACTATTGTTATTTTGATCAATAATTACATTCAAAAATGTATTTTTAATCATTTTACATAAATAGATGATTAGTATAATTTACGTTATTTCAGTAGAAGTTTCCTTATCCTTCCCAGAGGTTATTATTGGGTAATAAAAGCAATTATTCGAGCTAAGGAGCTTTAATTTGAATCTTATAACACTACAACAAAATAGATTTTTAGTGACATTTAATATGAATTTTAGTGGTAATAAAAATTGTTACAAAATTTTTTAGCAGCATTTTCACAATAGTCATTGTATGCCGTGTCGTTAAAACATTTAGCGGCAATTATTCTGAATGCTGGTAAAAATCCTTATAATGATCAAAAAAAGTGTATAACTTTTTGTGACATTTTTTACTTTCTACTCGATCTGGGACTTGTAAGATGAGGATTGTCTTTTACTTATATATTTTTTAATTGTCTTATCTCCTAATTAATTATTTTATCAATAGATGATGTGGAATTTAGATTTTTCCCAATATCAATTTAAAATAGTTACTTATAGGTCTAACTTAATCCTATAAAACAAACTTGTAAGGTGAGAG